ACCGCACTCCAGCCTGGGGAACAGAGCAAGACTCCGTCTCAAAAAAAAATTTTAAAGGAAAAAGAAAACTTCATGAATTTGTGTAATTAATTGATCAATGTATCTGATAACTCTCCTAGAATGTGAACTCTTTGAGACCAGACATCAAGCCTGTTTTATTCACTCTTGTATTCCTAGAGCTGAGCACAATGCCTAGTGAGTTAGTAGATACTCAGTAAGTATGTTTTAAAGTAAATACTTCAAGATGTCAACCATGCCAGTACTGACAGAAGGAATTTATTCAAGGGAACTGGTAATGCAGATGTGGCAGCTAGGAGGCTGCCTAAACAGTCCCCAAATTTGTCTTGGAGTATTATGGATTTCGTTGGGAGTCATTTTTCATATATGCTTAGGGTCTGACAACTTGAAATGACACACAATAGTGTGCAGCAATGATGTTGCACGTGCTTGGAGTTTGAGTTCAAAAGTCAATATGTGTGACAAAACTCATGTATTGAAAAGAATCACCATAAAAAAATCTCTTAAATCACCCACATACAACAGATTACAGAGTTTTATGTATTCTGTGCCATCTCTCAGTAAATTCAACATAGCCAGTTTTCCCTCCAGAGTTGGAACAGATGGCCATGGCTGTTTCTTTGGTTGAGTACCAGATGAAGCAGTTGGCTTGAATTTAAGAGCCATATTGTAGGGTGGAAAATTACATATATATGTATATATTCATCTGTATTATTTCCTTTTGCTGAGCATAGAGCTGAATTCCAGCAACTTAAATGTTTGTGTACTGTAACTCCATTGTACCATTTGATCTTCAGCATTGTCAAATCCTTTTCATTGCTTATTATGGATCCAAGGCCTGGTAAGCAGAAGGGGGTAGAAAATAACCCTGTGTGGTCATTGCATAGTTGACCTGACCAATTAGAAGAAGGTCAACCATAATGAGTTTCCAAATTAAAAAAAAAAAAAAATCCTTTCAGCTGGGTGCGGTGGCATACACCTGTATTCCCAAGGCTTTGGGAGGCTGAGATGGACGGATCACTTGAGGTCAGGAGTTTGAGATCAGCCTGACTAACATGGTGAAACCTCATCTTTACTAAAAATACAAAAATTAGCCAGGTGTTGTGGCAGGCACCTGTAATCCCAACTGCTCAGGAGGCTGAGGCATGATAATCACTTGCACCTGGGAGGTGGAGTTTGCAGTTAGCTGAGATTGTGCCACTGCATTCCAGCCTGGGCAACAAGAGAGAGACCCTTTCTCAAAAACAAAAACAAACTTTTAACTAAATTGAATACAGGCCCTCAACGCCCACAAGAAAGAATAAAGAGCACGTATGGAGTGCCCACTATATGCTGAGTACCTACTGCTTTGCATATATTGTCTCATTGAGCGGCCTCGTAGCAACCGTTTGAAGAAAGTATTCTAATCCCCGTGACCTGGGTGTGATTCTCCACAGCAGTCAGGCAGGCATGCAGGCTTGGCCATTGCCTGAAAGAACACACTTAGCCAGGGCCAGAGACGGAGACACTCTGAGCCCAGGGCCGCATGGTGCAAACATTCCTGAGCTCTTCCCATAGCTTGTCTTTTAGTCCACACCAGGTCAGCCTTGCAGGGGTGCTTAGAGACCTCTTTCCCACCCACAAAGGTAACTGGAGTATTTATCTACGAAGAAAATTTTAAGAGTAAATCCCCTTGTTTCATGAGTTCTGCATAATGGCACTCACTTTATTGGTGGAGTTGGACATTTTTTTTTTTTTTTGAGTTTCACTCGTGTTACCCAGGTTGGAGTGCAATGGCGCGATCTCGGCTCACCGCAACCTCCTGGGTTCAGGCAATTCTCCTGCCTTAGCCTCCTGAGTAGCTGGGATTACAGGCACGCGCCACCATGCCCAGCTAATTTTTTGTATTTTTGGTAGACACGGGGTTTCACCATGTTGACCAGGATGGTCTCGATCTCTTGACCTCGTGATCCACCCGCCTCGGCCTCCCAAAGTGCTGGGATTACAGGCTTGAGCCACCGCGCCTGGCCTGGAA